GGGGGACACGTCCCCTTCACATATAATTGTTGCGACGCCTATGCATTGTAGCAATGCTCTGTTCATATGCAAGTGTTCCTCTTTGACATCACTTCCTGTTACAGGGCATGCAAACATCTCAACTGTTCATCTCAGCAGAATCAATTGTTGTTTTTACAATGTTTTTAATGTTCTCTTTCCAATAATGCATTTGTATTTATCCGGAAAATTTGATGTCACGGGTACTTTAAAACAACAAGAATCAGTTGATAGTTTGAGGGTTTCATTTTACGAACACATCTTCCTGAAAACATTTTTCCCCATCACCACTTTGAATTTTATTTTTTTTTCCAAGGAATGAGATTCATTTAACGTAATTAATAGTGGTTATTATCTTAAGGGGATAGAGATGTTTGTGAAGTCTTGGTGTCGTACCAGTTTGAAGGAGCGGTCTACTATAATTCAAGGAATAGGATTCTGGAATGGACTGATGATAAAACTGCCAGATCTATGTACGTATTCAAGAAAATGATAAAGATAGTTTTCTAAGGGAATATGGAAAAGTATAATGTGTATCTATACAAATCGTTGTTTGAGTTGTTTTTATTTATCTTGTTTTTGTGTAAATTACTTTTGTTGAATATATTCTGGGAAAAAAGTGGCAGATATAAGATTTGTTCTTGTTCTGCTGCCTTTCATTTTATTTTTTGATTGTATGTATATATATATATATTTTTTTTTTCTATTTTGTTTTTAATGAAATGAATGAATTTCTAAATAATTCAAATCTAAATATAAGTGCAAAAATCCAGTGATTAACAATAGTTTTAAATCGACATGAGATTGAACTCTGGAAAAAATTAAAGATGAAAGAAAAAAGGCTAAAGATCAAAGCTGAGCTGAGAAATCATAATCGTGATTCGAGAGGTGCTGCAGCACTCCAATCACTAACAATCTTAGTTAAACTTCACTTCTGAAATATTAATACCAATAATGTATAATAATATAAATATGAAGGTAAATAACTTACTGTATCTCTTTGATCAGAATGAAACTGATCCTCCATAAGAAATATCACTCTAACTCACCTGTACCTCCAGTATACCTCCAGGTGTC